CTTCCCGAAGGAGCCCGAGGTCCTTCGGGAGGACCTCGAGAGAACCTCGGGTTCCTTCCGGAAGACCTCGGGTTCCTTCGGGAGGACCTCGGGTGTGCCTTGGGTTCCTTCAAAAGGACCACGGGAAAACCTCGGGTTCCTTCGGGAGGACCTCGGGAGGACCTCGGGTTCCTTCGGGAGGACCTCGGGAGGACCTCGGGTACCTTCGGTGACTTCAGGGAGGGGGGGTCACGTGACCCCTTCAACCCGAGAACACGTGACCCTCAGTACCCTTCCCTCCTCCTCCTCAAGAGCTGCGCTCTAATTCGGCGTTGCAGGGAGTTGTAAACGGCTTCAATTTTTTTTTTTTTTTTAATTTTAATTTGTACCGTGCTCTTCCTCGAAAGGTTTTCTTTCTCCCTCTGTGCTTACTGCTATTAGTACTGCTCCTGACAAAGTGTACGAGTAGCTCGTGAGAAGTGAGAGCGAAAGAACGAATAGGTGTAGGATAAGTTAAGAATTACCTTACAAGAATTTTCTTAAACCGGATATTTTCTACGCTAACAGTAACAAAATTTTCAGTTTCGCTAGTCATGAACCATCATGACTTAATAGAAGCGCCGAAAGACAGGGGCAAAGTGAAGGAGGTAACGACAATCACTCCCTGTTGTTGTTGCTTCCTTCACTTTGTCCCTGTACTTCGGCGCTTCTGTCCAGTTATAGCCGCGTCCCACTAGAGCGACAGGCAGCAACAAACTACAGCGACACACAACAATGAGCGACAGACGACACCGACAGACAGCCTGTTTGTCGGAGTCCGCCGTCCCACCTGGCGGACACGACGCAGAACACGGAGGCAAGGAAATTTGTTTCCTAGTGGGACTGGAGTTCTCAACAAAACACTTCAAAATACACAGACAAACCAAGCCTGGCGACGCGGTTTTAGTGTTTTGCTCTTTGGGCATAAAACGCGCCGACAAACACGGTGAAAGTGGAGACGATTACTTTATTTCTTGACTAAAGCTTCCGCGTCTCTTCATTTGCCGTTGGCGACTTTCCGTAAACAGTCGTGGCAGTCGACACCAAACTTTTTCTAAACTAGAAATACCCAAATCGTTCTTTTTTTGGGCCGTTCGAGGCATTCTAGGTGAGAGCCACGGAGTTTCACGCTCATTTTGAGGATGTTTATAACTTCATATTCGAATGATCGAGGGCAGGCGCTCTTTGGTGGACAATACGGCATCCCGATTATCACAGAACGTGATGACAATCGTCTGCCATAATGGCTTGCCGCGGAACGTCGTGTCCTACTTTGTGGTGAGCGGTCTTACTTTGGTCAGTCCTCGTACATGGGTGTATTCATCCTGATGCAGGGGCGTAGACTTCGGTGTCTTGAAGCACCACCTCGCGCACCAAGTTTTCGCGAGCAAAACCAGCCACAGCAAATTCCCTTTCGCAACACGACCGCCCGGCGCCAGCCAGCAAGCCGCGCCCGTGACCACTACGTGCAATCGAGGGACCGGAGCTGCGGGGCCGGGAACGAGGAGTGGCTGCCAAGGGCTTCTCGTTCCGGGAAGAAGGGTAGAAGGGTGGGAAGGGAAGCAACAGAAGGCATAAATGGGCGAGGAGGATAAGTTTGTCTCCGAGAGATGTTTTTCAGTGGGGTTGCTTGCTGCACTTCAAGTCCAATGACAGACAAGAACTCGTCCGTCGTCGATCGTTTGTCGGCGCTTGTCGGCGATTGTTGCGGGTGTCGGTCGTTGCAGTGGGACAGCATCGGCGACACGGAACTTTGTGGTGTCGTCGGACAAAAACCGGTGTTTTTCGCTCTAGTGGGACGAGGCTATTACGCTCATAGTGTTGACTTCAATATCTCAGGGAAAGCCCAGTGAACGAGCGACCTGGCGTATTATATTTGTTTTGTTGATAATGAGTAAATTCGCAACACTACTGGGGAAAATTTTTCTCGGCCTTTCCGAGTAGATGAGGAGAGCGCGCGCATAGCTTTGATCAGCGCTCAAAATGGGACGGGGCACAGGTGTCCATACCTTAGACTGCATTGCCAAGAAAAGTTGGCCCCGAATATAGTATCCTTTTTGAAAACAGCCGTAAAATATTGACTTACTGCAGTAGAAAATGTGACCTGCTGCTTTTTTCGGATAAGGATAAGTTGCACGGTCGTTCATGTCTACTTATTGGGCGAGTTTTCTCTGTAACTCCTAACCTCACTAAGGATGCAAAGCTGCCGTTTAGGAAACGGTGGCAACGAGAGGAATCATTTCATAAAATAATGAGAGTTTAGGAAGAAAAGAACGTTGTTTGACAACGTCCACGTACGTCTAGTTGACTCAACTCAGAACCCATCGGTGCAGTATATCTCGTACTGTGTTCGAACTTCGAACTGCGACGTCTGGAGCGCGTCTGCGACTTGCGTGTCTAGCGTCCTATCCCAGCCAAACGTCAAAAGTGTTGCCGATGTGGCAATAAATTTAGTCGCAGAAGACGGAGTGTTAAGCTGTCGGATGTTACAATCCTGGCGGTTAATGCTAAAAATATCGTGCTGTCGTCTCAGCGTCTCAATTACTGACTGCCGATCGCTTCCGTGGACTGTCGAGGGGGAGAGCGACCCGCAGCAGTACGGGTGTCTTCCACATCCACCACCACTGCTGTGACACCACCAGGACCGCGACCGGCGACAACATGACACTTCTAAGACGTCATCAAGCGGAAATCGAGGGATCATTTTTCTTTCCCTTTTTGACACGGTAAACACGCTTGTCAGATACGCGTTCCAGATACCGCAACTCGCAGATTCACATCTTATTAGCGAGGGGACCGAACTATGGGGGACGCTTCATTTCCCTTGTTTTCCACACACTCAAGGCCTGCGGTCTAGATTCTTCACGTCATCGTTCTAAATAAAACGCGGGCCCCAAAGTACAGGGTGTCACAAAAGAAAATTTACACGGTCTTTTTGACCGCAAAAATAAACTAGGCATCGCCGAACTCCCATTCTCCGCCCAAATGTAGAGCTAGAGGTCACAACCAGATGCCAAAGTTTCAGCCCGATCCGATAACTTAATCAAAAGTTATAAGTGATTTTCTGAAAAGTTCAATGAGAAAATGGAGCCCATTTTTGCCTGTTTTCGGTTTCTGGTGCCATAGAGCCCCATGTGTTTGAAAACTCCGTCGGCCGCCATTTTCCCATTGAAATTTTCAGAAAATTGCTCATAACTTTTGATTAAGTTATCGGATCAGGCTGAAACTTTGGCATCTGGTTGTGACCTCTAGCGCTACCTTTGGGCGGAGAATGAGCGTTCGGCGATGCCCAGTTTATTTTTGCACTAAAAAAGACCGTGTAAATTTTCTTTTGTGACACCCTGTAGATACGAGGACTTTGTCAACGTCCATCTGGCACGCGCGTTCAATTGGTACTTCGCCGAATGAACTCGAGGCTCAGCTGAACGCTTATGCCTCGTTCGACTACGTGAGCCCAGCTTTCCTTCGAAAGCACGCACAAATTATGCACGATGTTGTTGCGCCCACGGGCGTTGTTATCGACTTAGCCACAAGGGGCGCGACGTTTGGATCCCGTCCCCAAAAAAGCCTCGAAGTGCAAGCCGACCTTTAGGACCTAGTTCCACGAAGAAGCAAGATCTTGAGAGAACTCGTTTGCCCGGCGGATATCCCAAAGCGGGTTTATTTTCGAGGTCTTTCTGAGAGTTTATGCCGCCTTCACGTTTTGTTTTGTACACGTATCTGAGAGAGAAAAAAACAAAACGAAAAAAACATTACGCTATTAAAAAAAAAATTCCGCGCTTGCCTTAGAAGTGGGATGCGAACCGAAGAACTCTGCTATACAGTACATCTTTGTTGTTGCATCCACTAAGACACGCACAGATAACGACCATTTTAATTTCAAGTTCCGGGGCATGATGTAAAATTGAACTTCGTTACGATTTAGTGCCCACCAAGTTTAATCATGTGTACAACTTCAGAAAAAAAGTCATGAAGCAACACCGCGATTTTCTCGAGCATCGTCGAGGTTTATTAGGCGATAGTTTCTTTCCGCGCGTTCCATCACAAACACTCCTCTTCAAGAGCAAATAGAATATATTCTCTTCGTGCCACGGCCCGTTTTCTCCGTGAGCCATAAGGTACGGTGTCGTTATTTACATATGTATAGTAATTAGCAGTGCTCGAAAGTATTTTGAAGTGTATAGTCCTACGAAAACCAATAAAGGAAAAAAAAAAAACACGAGGGGCGATAAAGAAGCTCAATCCCTGTCCTCCACTAGACAGAAGGTAGTATCAACCGCGGAGTCTGCGGGCCCCGTTCGTGCTTGCGGAGTCGGAACCACTTCATTGACATTCGGATATGGAGGCTCTTCGCGAATGACGCTCACCTCGAACATTTCAAGTGTGTTATCGCTAATGCGTCAGTCGCAGATTTTGAGATTGGATAAAGGAGGATAGGTAAGTAGGAGAGCGCGTCACTGACATCCTGGTGGTTGATGGTCGACAGATTGTCTTCTCAAAGAGTGTGCGAGTTCTGAGAAACGACGTGCGAGAGAATAAAGCAGCGGTCGCGCCACTAACACACCATACGAAAGGCGGTCTCCATATGCATGTTTCTTCCTCGTACGGCAGTGCCGTCGCAACGGGTGTACGAAAAACAGTATTCAGACATGTTCGATACAGACATATGCGGAGTACAAGTTCGTCTGCTCCTTTTGCAGGGGTCGTGATGACGTCAGAAAGCCGAGCTGTGATTGGCTATGACTGAAAGAATAGTGGGTATAACCTCAAAGCAGCTTGCTTTGAAGTCTACGCACTACCCCTCAATCAGAGCCAATCAGAGGTTGGCGTTCTGAGGCTACCACGACCCTCGCAAAAGAAGCACACGAACTTGCACGGCACATATGTACGACGCAAACGTGCTTCGGACTCGCTTGAGGCGTGTCCGCAGACAGTTCTGTCGTCACGTCTGCAGTGAGTACCGTGGTTTCCGTACGACGCATAAGGAGTGCGGCTGCAGCTTTATGGGCAGGCAGAGACAGAAACCAAGGGCCCCGAGAAAAGAAGGACGACATCGGACGTTTCCGCCCTCCTCTGGGGAGCTGGCGGGTAGCGGCCGCTGTCGGTCACGGCTCGGCAGGATCTCTGCCCACGGTACAGAAGTTCTCTAGTTGTTCTGTGCGCGGTGAGGGGGTGGCACCAACGGAGACCAGGGTTCGACACGACGTATCACGAGTGTGTCCGTGCTGTGACCGCCGGAAATAGGAGCGCCGAGACGACGAGCAGGACCATCAGGGTGGAGGACGACAGCTGAGTGCTCGAGGTGTCTCGAACTGAAACGAAGCGACAACGGCAGTTATAACCATTGATAGGACAAGAACGGCGAGGAAGAGTGTCAGTTGTCCCTCTTCCAGCGCGAGCATTCTACAATCCATAATGCTTCGGCATCTCACGAGCCTCGAGAGTGCGCGTGCAGCCAAGGCACGGCGAAAGGTCGCGGGCGCGAGCTCGAGGTCGGGCTTTCGAAAGGGACGACCTACCGTTCTCACTTTGTCAGTGAGCATAGAAACACAAAAAAAAAAAAAATAAAAAAAAAAATAAAAACTCTAAAATGGAGGAAAAAAGAAGACAGAATCCATGGCTACTATAACGGTACATGGAGTTGATTCGTGTAGATACGTCTTCTTTTTTTCCCGATAAAACGCAAATCGAGTAGGATGGGGTCAAAGTTTTTTTACTGTTACCTACAAAAAAGAAAAGGAAAAAGGAGGCTATAAAAATCAGGACTTTTTTTTATTTTTAATGCAGACTTCCAACTAACTACAAGTAAACCCCGTGTTTCATGGTGACATGCGCCGGGGTATAAAAGTTAGACTTTTGGAAAATAAGGAAAGCACTACTAAAGGCTGTATCGAAAAAAAAATCAGGACAAAAAAATTTCTTCTTAATGAATCAGCCGCATGCAGCCTTCGTTTATCCAGAACTGGGCGTCTACCTGAATTATGGCAGCAGGCTAATTAGGGAAAAGAACCAAAAATAAACGCACGCCTTAACATCTCAAGATTTTTGAAACCATTCATTGTATTTGTATTCCTTCGTTTATACGCTAATCGACTCTTCCGATACCCTCAGGTTACCCTCTTTTTGCGCGCCGATCGAAGTATAGAGAAACGGTTAAGGTAAACTGGAGGTACTCTTTACTAGGTTACCGCGATAATTGTACGAGTTGCGTGAACATTGATTTACGTTTATTACGATTTGGCGGCTAGCTGCCCCTAAAGGGTTATGCACACGAGGGAGAAATACCGGGGATTTCTCCACGGCACACGCATCCTGCGACGAAAACGCCAGGCTTTGCGATGTGCAAAAGCCCCGCGTTTTCGTCTCGTGATGCGCGCGCGCCGGAGAGAAATCCCCGGGATTTCTCCTTCGTCTGAACACCCCTTAGGAGGGCGGTATGTATAGCCACCTTCTCGACATCTTCCTCCTGGAGCTGAATGCGCTCCGGACATCGGCGTGACACAATGTACTACCGTATTTACTCGAGTCATAGCCGCACTATTTATGAACAAGGCCCTTGCGTCTGCTTTCCCGCCAAACACATATACACTCAATCATCGCGTCGAGCATAAATAACATAGCAAATAACTAGATCGAGCACACGATTCTCCATTTAAATTCAATCTTCACAGATGGTATCTTCGCTCGAAGACGTTATTTCCGTCCTGTAAACTGCTCGAATCGTGCTGTCGACTGCGGTGGTTGGTGATTCGCGTGCTCCGCGGGAAAGCGAACCCTCAGGTTTTTTTCATAAACAGTGCGGCTATGACTCGAGTAAATACGGTAAATGTACCGCATCACACCCACACCTGGAGAACAGCCTCCAGCTTGTCAACGACAGCAAAATGGAAACCTCAAAATACCTTAATTTTTTCATGGCCCCGAACAAGTGGTACTCACTGGGGACAAGTTCGGGCCGTACACACGCATGACCAAACGGCAGACAACTCGTACGACGCGTCGGCAGGATGGGCAGACGTGACCGGGCACCAGCCAATCACTGGCGACCGGGAATTCGCGCGACTCGGTGATTAGCTGGGGCCTGGTTACATTTGGCCGCCGGACGATTGGACGTTCATGTGCACGACCCGACCTGGCACGCAATATTTATCACCTGCTCGGGGCCACGGAAACAGAAGGAAAAAATAAAGCTGAGAAGACGTTATTTTGTGATGATTGATGACAACTCAAGAAATGCGTGGCGAGTTTCAAGCATCTTATCAGCTTTTCGCAACCAATGAGGCTGCAGCTTTAGCTGATAGAATTGCCAACAAACGAATAATGAAGCGTGAGCTTCATTATTCCCCGCCACGGGTGTCTTAAGCCGTCGGTGATTATGCGGAAAGCAAGTACGCCTGCTTCTTGCGCAGGACTTCGGTTACGTCAGAACGACGTCGAGCTCTACTTGGCTTTGACCAGGGTGTAAGATAAACAGGTGGGGAAACGAGAGCCAAATGAGCGACCGGATTGTGTCCCCCTCGGTTTTCTCGTTTTCTGTGGCGGCATCTATGTGGAGCACCGCGAACTCTCACTCCGGGTCGTGCTCTCGGTTTATTTTGCGCACTCTCCCATAAAGTTCCATGCAAATGCGATTCCAATTTTTTTTCCTCTCGCCGCAGCGCCATCTGTCGCAAATCGAGCATACCCGCAAGCAGACGAGTACACAATCCGGTCACTGCGCTGCGGTAGGCTTGTATGGGCCGTTTCCCCACCTGTCTATCTTTCACCCTGACTTTGACTAAAAGGATAGTGGGCATACCTTAATGCTAGATGCATTGAGGTCTACCCACTATTTTGTTTTTTAATCAACCAATAAGAGCTCGGCGTTCTGACGTCATCGCGACCCCTGATCAAGAAGCAGACAAATTCGGGCGCCGCATAAAGAAAACTGATTCCGCCAAGAATGAATAGCTGCCCCACTAATGCCGGGAGTGGATTCGACTCTAGGGAGAATATCTTGAGAAAGTAAATATACTGTATCTACCTACGTATAAGTGGCCGGCATTTGCAGCAAACTATTCAATTTATTCTCGCGACTAAGTAGGAAGGAAATTATGAACTGAATGTTCATAATTTCCTTCAATTCGCACCAGCACAAATGAGGCTGGTGCAAATTGAACATTACATAAACCCCCGAGACTGTAAGTTGAAGAAACGACACGAACACTGATACAAAGAGATCGTTCAGTGTTTGTGTTGTTTTTTGTGCCTGCAGTCTCGGGGTTAATGTTATGATCAAGATAGATAATTACCATAGCCTTTTCCCCGGCTTGTAACGAAAGGAAGACAACTCCTACGTTTGCGTCACTGTTAATCCGTAGTCACAAATACATTTTACAACTTTAACGGTGTAAAAGGCCTATTCCAGGGTCTTACACCCAGGGCAACACCTTTTCAACACCCTAATTTTAAGCAATGCACTCATCATAATCGTAAAATAGGGTGTTGTTGCATGGATGACTCTTCATATGTTAAGGAGCGTGTGCAATGGGTGTGAAGAAGTGTGCTAAAATAACGTGAGTCGAAAGGGATTCTTTTTGAAGGACGTTCGAATTTCAAGAACAGCTTCAGTGGAGGTTCGTTTACCGCCTATATGAGATAATGTTTTCTGTGCCGATACGTTTTACTTGTTTCACCTTGTAATGATGGACACTTTCATCTGCAGTCGAGTGTCTTTGACATGTCTAGTATATAAAGTGGTAGACCAATCATCACGGTAATGATACTTTTCTCGGCTCGATTTACTGCGTCTACATTGCCCATTTATGTTGATGAGATAACTGCATCTGTCAATTGTTGCTTCAAACCTGTTGCTCGTAAAAACACTGGGGGGCTGGTAAGATTGCCGGCCTTTTATAATACGGTGTTCCCCAGATGTCAAAGCATCTTGCTGGAACACCTTCGGGGTGTTAGTCCTTGGACAGGCTGACTTACACTATTATCTGTGCAAAACTATTTAGCGTGTAATTAGTTCACGACTGTCAAGAGGGTGGGTCTCAAAAATTCGAAATCAAAGTATCAATATTCTAGCTTTTAACATTTAACTCTCCAGCAAGCCTCTCCCACTCCCTTCTCTTTCTCTCGTATCCTGAAAGATTGTGAACCATCGACAATTAAAGCTATTTTAGCAAAATAGCAAAGAACCTAGCATTGGCAGCCCAACATCATCAAGAATGATCAAACCCGGGCACCAGAATATTGACGTCCTCATAGTGTGATCGACTACAGTCAGAGATTGGACACGAGTGCTGCGTGAGCCTTCGCGTGCCCAGTCAATGCGTCGAGGGACGCTCAACGTCGGGCAATGGCCTAGCTGGCGCGAATCGATTGTGGTAGCGATCGAAGTCGCAGAACAGCACACAAATAATGCCGACTCACTTAACTGTAGACGGACGCGTGTATTACATTCCGCGGGCGGACACTGCAACGCTTAATCAGAACGCATGCCATCGCCCAGTAAACAAGGGCAGCGCTCAGGAGGTGATTATTAACATGGAGTATCAACTGAATTAAGGTATGCAAAGGAGCTGGTTTATGACTATAAAATATGTAAATAACGCACGCAGGAAAGAAGACAGGTGAAAAAAGTAGACAGGACTAGAGCTCATTCTCAATTGATTCTTTGAGAAAGAGTCAGGTATTTGTTTTAGTGAGTATTCAGTTGAGAGTCAACGCTCGTCCTGTCTTTCATCCGTCCTCGCCCTTTTATGCACTGTTTTTCTATTTGTACAGGGGGGTATACCTCGGCTGGTGTTTTCGCTGATGTGGAGTCCGGACTTCTGGTGGCGGCCCCCGGAGCCTCCGAAGACGAGTTCCTCGTTGCTCATGGTGTACACCCTGGAGATGGTGGCCGTGCACTTGAGCTTCATGTTCCCGTCGCGGAAGTGGTCCTCAGTGACCACGAAGCGGAGGCCCAAAGAGGCCGTCTCCAGACCGTCCCCGTGCAGCGTGGTCGAGAACTCGCTCTCGTGGCTCGGCTCCGTAACCAGGGCGTCGTTGATGAACCAGCGGAGCGTCGCTGCGGGCTTGGACTTGGCCGAGGTGCAGTTCACGCTCACGGTGTCGCCGATGCGGTACTGCGCCCGGCCCCCCGTGATGCGGGGGCCCTCGGTCGGAAGCACTGCGCAGGCCAAGCGAAGCACGCGGTCAAAGCTGGGACACACGTGCGTCCCAACGCCGAGATAGCGCTAAGTTGGCGCCGCATCGGCGCTACCCTCAGTAAAGAATCGACGCTGATGTAGCGCTGCAATGTGAATAGAAAGAAAAAGACGGTCTCGAGCAGCGGGGTGCTAATACAGCGCCGATGCAGCGCAAAGTCAGCGCTTTGCTGTGTGTCTTAATAGGCATTCAGAACAACATGTCGCTTCGTCGTAATCTTTTTCGGGTCTATATTATATGGACCGTAAATTTTCTCAAAACACTTTATAAAGACAATTACTCGAATTAACGGAGGGAGCTCGGCCAATGATAGGGTTGAAAATTCGTATAGAGTTAGAAAGACGCAAAGCGCTGTGTCACCGTGAATGAAGTTTTATTGTGCTCAGTAGCGGAACGCAGATTGTTTTAGAGCGCAGCTCTTAGGGGCCCGGTCCCGGCTTGAGCGGCGTCGCCGTCGGCGTCGGCGTCGCCGTCGCCGTCGCCGTCGCCGTCGGCGTAACCAAGGTCATCCCAAGGTCACGTGACCCCCAAGGTCACGTGACCCCTCCCAAGGTCATCTCAAGGTCACGTGACCCCACGTGACCCCCTGAAGGTCACGTGACCCTTCGAGGTCACGTGACCCCTTCCAAGGTCATCTCAAGGTCACGTGACCCCAAGATGACCCCACGTGACCCTTTGAAGGTCACGTGACCCCCAAGTCACGTGACCCCTCTGAGGTCACGTGACCCCCGAGGTCACGTGGTCGCCTCCCCAAGGTCACGTGACCCCCGAGGTCACGTGACCCCTTCCAAGGTCATCTCAAGGTCACGTGACCCCACGTGACCCCCAGGTCACGTGACCCCTCTGAGGTCACGTGACCCCTCTGAGGTCACGTGACCCCCCGAGGTCACGTGACCCCAAGGTCACGTGGGGGTCACCTTTGGGGTCACGTGGCCTTGAGGTCACCCCCAGGTCACGCCTCCCCGAGGTCACGTGACCCCCTCCCCGAAGTCACGTGACACCCCCCCCCCCGGAGCATATTAAAGAATGAGGGGAGGAGGAGGAGAAGGGGGAGGGGTCTACCCTCCCCTCAGTACCCTTCACTCCTCCTCCTCAAGAGCTGCGCTCCAATTCGGCGTTACAGGGATTTGTAAACGGCTTTCACTTTTTTGTTTTATTTTTAATTTTAGGTTTATGCATATTGAAACATCGTGAATCGTCGAACTCCCTCTGCAGATTGCAGCGATGGGCTTTCATCAAACGGTTTGGGGGAATATAGACACCCAATATTTTATGGAGAGTACATGCTCTGAAAACGCAGGCTTTGGTCCAGTATTTGCTTAGTTATTTATATTATAATTTACCCCCAGGCCCGAAATCATTGTAGAAGGGGAGAGCAGATAAAAAAATTTGGGGCTCCAATCCACGCTGGAGAGAAGGTTGGACAGCGAAGCTGTGGTATCCCCTGCAACGATTTCCCAATGCATTATAGACGCTTTTTAAGGCAAACGCCACCAGGTGGCGCTCCGGTTTTGGACGTTTTAGAGATATTCCGGTTGATAAAAATAATGAACAGAGGCCACCTTAATGCCGTTGCTTGAAATTTAGACGAAACGTCTAACCACCAATTCTCCTGGTGAACGCCAAAAGAATGCGAGATCTGTTAATATGTTTCGAGTATTCTTATAAACTAACTTGCTTCCTTCATGGTGCCATGATGTAATATTGTACAACCGAAGGCCCTCGTTAAATCTCCAACTTTGTTGTCCGTGTAGCATTTATGCTTTCTAGCACTGGAGACATAAGCAAGCTCAACAGGCCTGCGAAGACGGTGCCACCGGAAGTCGCTTGGAACGCCAGTGGCAGTTCATATTTGTAAGCAGCAAAAAGGCCTACACCAAAGAATTGACGAAAGAAAAGTAAATGCACTGTACTAAAACTTTTTATATATGAAAGGCTAGTGACGTCACCCCCACGTCGCTACCTGCCACGGCGACGGCAGCTTGCGCAACAGTAATCTATATCGGGAAACGTTAGCTGTGAGCGCTACGTGCTTCGCATTGTTATCAGGAGCGCTTTATCATCAATTAACTGTTTCGAATGCTTGTTTTGTGCTTGTTATTTATTGAAACGAATACTGTGATGTATGTTGTGGGCGTGATATGCACTTTTCGCTTCAATCGCTGAAGGTTTTTTTTTCCATTAGGACGATGACGCGAAAATATTCCAGAAATCTGATTGGTGAGTCATTTACAGCTTCGATGTAAAACGGATAGTAAAACTCTAACTAATAAACTATATTAATAATATAACACGTCAGTCAAGCAGGCCATGAATCACTGCCAGAATGGTTAGTGATAGCATTTCGAAACAGGTTAGGCTCAATGATAGTAGCAATCAAACCGGGTAGCTTGGCCTCTTCTCGTGATGTACAAGGAAGGATTAGGGAGGGGGGTAGTTGTGCGTCCATGTTGATGTTTGTATGTCCTGTGTATGGTATTGCTCTAGATGGTATGTTCTGTCGATGATATCGTTTGTTGTGCTACGGTAGGTGTGACATGTCTACGATAAAGATGCTCGAAGCGCAATAACCGCGCGAGCAAGGAAAAATGTTTTTTTTTTAACTATAACTTGGGCTATACTTAGCGCCACCCAGCATAGCTACTTGCAACCACTCTGCTTTACCCTGCCATTTGGTGGCGAACTATCTAACCTGTTTTCCCGCTTCGCTATATTTTCTGGTTACCATGCAGGGTTTTCTGTATTAGCTCTTTTGAGAGCTCTTTTTGGTTTCGAAAATGGTTACCACTCTTTCGTGACGTGCGGTGTTGACAAGGGGTATATGGGTTGAGGAATAGCAAAGGTAAGACGTGAGGTGCGCGATGTGGCCGTGTTTCTGTTGTATCCGTTTAACATCGCAATGTTGATTGCGTTAGAACTGAGCAGCTGAGCTCAAAACCCAAGGTTCCTTACCAGCGCGGGAAGCTGACTTCGACAATAAATACAGTTTGTGAAAAGCACGCCGTATGTTTTTATTTGCTGTTCCTGTCTCCCGAAATAAGTGGGCTTGCACAAATTGGTTCAAAGTAGGTGAGTGCTTCCCCTGCGATAGCTGTTTGCAGGCACGTGGGGGGGGGGGGGGGGGGGGGCAGTAGATTGAGTTATTTGCCTGTCCTAAAGCTATGCCAAATATTTTAGGTTAAATCGCGGCAGTGTTCAGTGCAGAGGCTGACATTAGACGTAGAGTCTTCGTTAAACCTTATTCAGCTGAATTCGTTAGATTCGGGACCTCTTACTACGATACAAAAGAGGGAGAAATTTTGCTCCGCTGCTTTCAGGAACGAACGTTCCTGCTTTCTAAAAAATTCTTAGGCTACATAATTATTCCTCCCTTTATACAGCAATATATAAACAACTTTATCTTAGAGTGCTTGCTCTTCATCATCGTGTCGATATTGTTGAATAAAAAAAATCCTTTCATAGCTTGCCAATCAGATGCTCCGAATGATAGGCCTAGCTCTTTTGATCTAACTAAATGAATAGACGGGAGCAAATGCAAGCCGCGTTCTTCGATTTGGCACTTTAGCGTGTGCTTCCATCTCATTTTATCTCAAAACATAAAAAAAAACTTAAATTTAGGTGGTATTAGCTGAGCGGACTGCACTAAATCTTCAAAGAAAAAGTGAAAAAAGTTTTTTTAGGCAAAAAAAAATAATTTTAAAATATTTTGAATTGAGTGTACACTGCATATATGTTATGATAAAGTGTGTGAATATTATTGTCGTAATTTAGTATATGCGTTTTAGTACAACATTCGACATTCCTAAAGAAACAATTAAAAAAAACTGAGGTACTCTTCGATGCTAGCGCTATATCAACCCCATGAACTGTGAATTAGTTTTACTTTTTTTTTTCACGTGCTGCGTGTTGTGATATTGAGGAGGCGGCGACAGCTGTGTCAGGCATACATGCGTCTTCTTTGACAATTCTCGCTACCTCTCTTTCTCCCTTCCCCCCTTTCTCCACTTCTCCAATAGATAACTTCATATGTTGTCTGAATAAAAATACTCTGACTTTACTTTAGCGATCCAGAGCTTAAGAATCGCAGGACGTGGCAAGTCGTGAGCATCTCATTAGCGTTCCCATACCAATGAGAAGGCTGCATTAGCCGATAATTACGCCGAATGACCAATCAAGAGGCCAGAAGGCGGCACGGAGTTAGCCACAACCTGCGTTTCTTAAAGCTCTGTGACTAGTGTGAAAGACAAAATTGTGTTAATGGGTCCACTAAACATTAGAAAATGTATTGGATCCTATAAGAGCCCATATACGTTTCTTTTTTTTTACTTTTTATACTTGTTACGATATTGCCACACGCGGCGGTGAGCAAGCCCGTCTGGGGCCGAATAATTCCCGTGCTTGGCTGTCGCTCGGAGGATCCAGGGAGCGGAATGTTCTTTTATTCATTCTTTACACTTGGAATTCTCGTAAGTTCGAGAGCCTGCTCGTCTGATTGAGTTACAAATATCCTACGCGCCGAATTTTTTACGCCGAATGTTCCAGAAACCTACGCGGGTACATAAGGTGCTCTCCGTGGCGAGCCTGAGTCAGTCTCGCCCCGACGCGTGATCCCGCTATCAGGCCGCGCTATCAACGCCTGCGAAGCTAACCTTTCTCTATTTTGTTTAGCCGCAAGTTCGCCGATTAAACCTTTCCTTTGAGTTAATTATTTATCACCTCTTCGTCTTACCCTGCGACATTTGTGGTGGATGTGCGGGAAACGCAGCCCACGAAGCGTACCCCTCCGAGACCCCGCAGCGCAAGCTCAATACCCCCTCAAGAGGACCATGCGCAGAGACTACCGAGATCCGAGGAAGCCGCCGCACCCAAGACTACACCTGGAGTTCGGACTTTTTCCACTCAAAACGAAGCAGCCTACGAGGCCGACGATGGACAACCAGTCGTCGCAGACCCCGGCCGCCG